GTCATCAGATGCTTCTTTAGAACTCCAAAATAGAGATAGGACAAACAGAACTGTTTGCAAAACCAATGAACAACATTTTGGGGTGTGTGAGATAACTTTAAAATCCAGGTGTTGCTGGTCTAATTTTTGGCCAAGGACTGAAATCAGAGTTTATTTTCTGGCAATTTAAAAGTTTTAACGGTAGAAACACAAATGCAGAAATTCACTATTTGGTATGAAGGACACATCAAGTCAGGAATAGAGAGTCAGGATTGTCACTTTCCTCCCACAAAGCATCCCAGATGGAAGAAGGTATGGAAACTATGTGCGGGAAAAGCATATCTGTGGTGGTAGATCAATTCCAATGATACCAATGGAGAGTTTTGCCTCGGGGGGGGGGGGGGGGACGACTGAAAATTATTTCATCCTGACAACTATTAGGTGGATGGACAAAGAGGGGAGGCAGATGTTCCAGGGTGACCCTCTTGTGCAACAGGGATCGAAATGCACACTTGCACAAGATTGCAAACTTAACCCAGAGGGCTGGTTCCAAAGTTCATTGTATTATCGGAGGGGAAATTAGAAAGAATTTGAACAGCCACTTGCTGAAACAATTAGTAGGATCTCTCATGGCTTATTTTTTCTTTTTTCTTTCCCTTTCTCAGAAAGTCTTCTTCAGCCTGATCATCTTCTCTCTCATGCTGGCTGCATGTCAAGGAGCATGCTTTAGTGGGCCCTTTGCAGCTGAGATTAAAGATGGTAATCAAACTCTTTATACATCTGAGCAAATCATCGCTTGCAAAGGTTTAGTAATGCCAGGAGAAACGTTGTGGGCTTAATTTTGACAATCCAGGTTTTCATTAAGTTGGGCCAGGAAACCCCGACTGTACTAATGCAGAAGTTGTTTGATCATCAGGGATCCTTACAAATCTAAACAATCATTAATATATAATGATATTCAGCAAATGTGGAGAATTTGTATACTTGTCACCTTTGCTCAAGAGTAGATTTCTATAAGTAGCCTCCAACTCTAGCAGGTTTCTCAATACAGCATGACAATCACACTCTCCTAGCAGAACTGAGAGTTGTAGCTCTGGTTACAATAATGGGAGAAATACTCTGTACATTACTTAGATGCAATAAAGACAGAAATGCCATTTCTGGGTTCGGTTGAAGGTTCAACTTTCAGCTCTTCCATTCTTTTTTTCTTAGGTAAACCGGTGGTGCCAATCACTTGTCATGATATATATGATGGGAGAAAGCATCTCATTGGGTCCACCTGGAACACAGCTCATTGTTTAAGATGCGAATGCAGCAGAAATGGATTGGATTGCTGTCACAGGTAAGAAGAGGCTCCAGGCCACCTTCAGATATATTAATTTGCATGTTTTCTCTGAAGTTAAGCTACAAGCATTTATTGAGATAGCATGTATTAGAAAGAAAGAA